ATTTGGAAACAGCCCAAGTGCCCATCAGTGGATGAGTGGATAAAAACGCTGTGGGACATTTACACAATGGAATACTATGCAGCTGTACAAAAAGAGGGATCTCTTACCCTTTGAGACAGCATAAATGGATCTGAAAAATATTATGCTAAGTGAAATAAGCCAATCTGAAAAAGACAAGTATAATATGATCTCACTTATTTGTGGAATCTAATAAACAGAATGAACTGACCAGCAAAATAAGACCCGAAGCCTGGAGGCATGGATCAGACTGACATACCTTGATGTGGGGTTGAGGAGACGAGAAGAGATAAACCAAAGAACTTAAATACTTATATGCATAGCCCATGAACACAGGCAATAGGGTAGTGAAGACCTGGGGGGATGGGTAGGGGCTAGGGGGGAGGGGATGAAGACCTGGGGGGACGGGTAGGGGCTAGGAGGAGGGGGGGGGGGGAAGAAAAAGGAACATATCTATAATACTATCACCAATAAAAATATATTAAAAATATGTGTGTGTGTGTGTGTGTGTGTGTGTGTATAAAACTTTCCTAGATAGAATCATGAAGAATTAAAAAATCTAAATAAACTAATCAATAGTATGGAAATTTCAAGTCATTAAAAACCTCCCAAAAAGTAATAGTCCAGGACCAGATGGATTCAGTGAATTCTACTAAACATTCAAAGAAAACTTAATACCTATCCTTTTCACTCTTCCAAAATATTAAAAAAGAGGCAAAAATTCCTAACTCATTTTATGAGGCCAACATTACCCTGATACCAAAAACAGGTAAGGAAAACATATACACACTCAAATTATAGGCCAATATCTCTAATGAATATAGATGCAAAAATCCTAAACAATTAACTAGGAAATTGAATACTACAATACATTAAAAATATATCACAATCAATTGGGGTTCAGTCCAGGGGTGCAAAGATGGTTCAATATATACAAATTAATGAATGTGATATGCCACATTAACAAAATAAGCAATAACTATCATATGATCATATTAAAAACTACAGAAAAGCATTTGACAAGATACAACATTCATTTATGATTAATAAAATTCTCAACAAAATGGGTATAGAAGAAATTACTTAAACATAATAAAGACTATATATGACAAACCCTCAGCTAATATACTCAATGGTAAAAAAACTAAAAGCTTTTTCCTCTAAGATCAGGAACAATACAAGGATGTCCACTTTCACCAAACTGGGAAGAAGTAAAATAGTCATTTTTTGCAGAGGACATAATTTTTTATAAGTATTAGAAACAATAAATAAAGTACAATAAAGTTGCAGGATACAGTGTAAAAAAATTATTGCATTCCTATATACTAACAATTAAATTTCATGGGAAAAATTGAAACAATTCCATTTTGCAATTGCAACAAAAAGAATAAAATATCTAGGAATAAACTTAAAGGATATGAAGGACCTATACACTGAAAACTATTATACACTGTTGAAAGAAATTGAAGAAAACACAAAGAAATGGAAAGATATTCCATGTTCATGAATTAAAAGAATTAACATAGTTAAATGGGCATATTACCTAAAGCAATATACAACTCTAATGCAATCCCCATCAATATCCAATGGCATTATTCAAAGAAATAGAACCCAAAAAAATCCCTAAATTTGTATAGAACCACAGAAGACCCTGGATAGCCAAAGCAATTCTGAAGAAAAAGAACAAAGCTGGAGGTATCACATTCCCTGATTTCAAGTGATACTATAAAGCTACAATAATCAAAACAGCATGGTATTTGCAAAAAAGCAAACAAACAAAATAAAACAAATACATGAACCAATGGAACAAAATTGAGAGTCCAGAAATAAACCCTTATGTATGGGCAACTAATTTTCAACAAAGAAGCCATAAACATATAGAGGAGAAAAGGAAGGCTCTTCAATAAATGGTGATAAGAAAATTAGAAAACAACATGCAAAAGAATGAAACTAGATTGGTATGTGACACTGCTATTTTACACAAAAAGTAACACAAAGTAAATCTAATACATAAATATAAGACCTAAAACATTAAAATACATAAAAGGCAGGTACTAACCTTATAACCTGGGTCTCAGAGAGGATTTTATGAATTTTATCCCAAAGGCAAAGGAAGTAAAAGCAAAAATAAATAAATAAATGGGACAATATCAAACTAAAAAGCTTCTGCACATAAAAATGAAACCATAAACAAAACAAAAAGGCAACTCACTGAATGGGAAAAATTACTTGCAAAGAATACCTCCAATAAGGGGCTAATATCCAAAATATATAAAGAAGTCATACAACTCAATAACAACAAAAAAAAACAACTGTTCCAATTAAAAAATGGGCAGAAAACCTGATCTGACTCTTTTCCCAAAAAGACATACAAATGGTCAACAGATATTTGAAAAGATGCTATATTTCACTATTTATAAGGGAAATGCAAATCAAAACCACAATGAGATAGCTTCCACTTGTTAGAATGATTATTATCAATAAAACAAGAAATAAGTGTTATAGAGGTTGTTGAGAAAAGGGGAACCTCATACAGTGCTGGTAGAAATTTTTTTAATTATTTAAGATTAAATTTATTGGAGTAACATTGATAAAATTATATAGGTTCAAGTGTACAAGTCTATGATAAATGTCTTATCTGTATATTGCATTGTGTGCTCACCACCCAAAGTGAAATCTTATTCCATCACCATGTATTTGACCTCCTTTACGGTCCCCACAATTTTCATTTCCTCTGGTAACCATCAAACTGTTGTCTGTGTCTATAAGTTTTTGTTTGTTCATTTTTCTTTTTGTTCATTTGCTGCTTTTAGTTTTATATACCACATATGCATGAAATCATATCGTATTTTACTTTTTCTAATTTATTTCACTTAGCATGATATTCTCAAGATCTATTCGTGTTGTCACCACTATGAAAAACAGTATGGAGGTTCCTTAAAAAATTAAGAATAGAGCTAGCATATGACCCAGCAATCTCTATTCTGGGTAATTCCTAATAATTTGAAAATATTTATGCATAAAGATATATGTACCCCCATGTTCATCATAGGATCATACTTGAAAACAACCTAAGTGTCTTTTGATGGATGACTGAATATAGATGATGTGTTTCATACATACAATAGAATACTATTCAAATAGAAAGCAACCAATGAACAAACAAGACAAACTACCTCACAGACACAAACAACAGTATGGTAGTTACCTGAGGGGAAAGGGAATGAGAGAAAGGTTGAAGAGAGTAAAAGATAAGAGGTCAAATATATGGTGACAAAATGAGAGTAGACTTTGGGTGGTGAGCACAGAGTGCAATATACACATGATGTACTATAGAATTATATACTTGAAAGTTATATAATGTAATTAACTAATGCCACCCCAATATTTAACTTTTAAATGAAAAAAAATTTAATGTGTTGAACACTTACTTTGTATAAAGGGGTTATGCTAAGAATTTTCCATGTATCTTTTAACTCAGTTATTTTCTTACTGGAGACCCGGTGCACAAATTACGACACCAACGGGTCCCTCGGCCTGGCCTGTGGGAACGGGCCGAAACCTGCTCTCCAACATACCCTGAGGGTCCTGGATTGCGACAGGACACAGGCCAGGACGAGGGACTCCACCAGTGCATGATCGGGGCCAAGGAGGGACACAGAGGTTGGCAAGCTGGGGAGGGACCACGGGAGGGCTACAGGGCATGTCCGGCCCATCTCTCTCAGTCCCAATCGTCCAGACCCCAGCAGCAAGCTAACCTACTGATAGGAGCATCTGCCCCCTGGTGGTCAGCGCACATCATAGCAACTGGTGGACCAGTCGAATATCTTCCCCCTGGTGGTCAGTGCATGTCATAGCGAGCAGTTAAGCAGCCTTCACATATCATTACCATATAACACTTTGATTGATTGAACAGATGACTGGACGACAAGACACTTGGCATATTACGCTTTTATTATATAGGATCATCCGATGCAGATAACTTTTATTAATCTTTATTTTTTACAATATTACATATGTCCCTTTTTTTTCCCTATTGACCCCTACTAGCCTGCACCCAACCCCACCCCAGATCTTCACCACACTATTGTCTGTGTCCATAGGTTCTCTTAACTCATTTAATCCTATAAGGTAGATAATACAATTAATCCACTTTTACCCACGAACTAGGAATCAAAGTTCCACAGTTAGTAACGTAAAGATCAGATTAATATTCAGAGTCTGGCTCCTCAGACTATGTTCTTAATTACTCTAATACATGGATGGGGAACCTTTTTACTGCCAACGGCCATTTGGATATTTATAACATCATTCGCAGGCCATACAAAATTATCAACTTAAAAATTAGTCTGCTATATTTGGTCAAACATTTAACTAACTCACAGGTCAAATATATGATGCCTTGGCAGAGCCAGACCAAATGATTTCATGTGCATTATATGGCCTGTGGATGGATATTCCCATCACTATTCTAATATGAGAAAGTGGGTGTTAAGTGTATAAAAATGTAACATGTGCTATGGGATATTTTTAGCTTGAAAGGCTAAAGGCAGCTCCAGATCTAGCAACATTTTGTCCAGAGCTAAAAGAGGAGAAAATAGCACATTATTTAGATTAATATTATTGCTAATTTGGCCAAATCAGTAAGTTATTTCACTTTAAATCTTAACCATATAACAGAAAGAAAAGAAAGAAATTCAAGAAGAAATGTACTCAAGAACAAGGAACTGAAATTGTCGTATCAAAATGTTAAGTGAACAGATTTTATAAAGTATTTAGAATGACAGTTATGTCAGGATAATTATCCTTAGGTGCATTTTCGAAAGTAATACATATTTTAACCAATACACCATTCCTGTAAAAATAAACATAAACTGAGATATAATAGTGGGTAAATTTTAGACTAATTTAATAGTTCTAAATTTTAAAAGAAAACCCATTTTTATTTTCATCTTCAGAATAATATGACAAAAGGTAGATACCTATTTTTTCAGGCTTGAGTAGCTTGAAAGAGACAGTTGAGGTTCCTTTGCCACCTGACTTGGTTGTGACAATTATGTCTCCTTTGTCATTTTTGGCTTGTCCAACTCGACATACTATTTTACTTGCAGACATCCATTCTGCTGTCAGGAGGCAATTATGTCCACAAATTGCCAAACCTGAAAAGAAAAAAGCATACAAAGTTCAGAAGAACAATGATAAGAATTAATCATGTCTATTACATAAAAATACAATTCTACTTTCTCCATTTAGTAATACCAGACCTTTTCAAGAACTGAAAAATAAATCTAGAAATAACATTTCCTTGTTCCCTTATTCCTATTATTGAATACTAGAGGGCTGGTGCACGAATTCGTACACGGGTGGGGTCTGGCCAGCCTGCCCCGATGGGGGCCCATTGGGCTGGGATGGCGGGGGGGAGAGGAGGGGATGGGAGGGGCTGTGGGAGGTTAGTTGGTCAGCCCCACCCCCGATTGGGGTGTTGGGGGCCAATTAGGGGGCAGGTTCATCCAGGGGAGGGACCTCGGGAAGTTGGCCAGCCGACCCTGTCCCAATCAGGGTGTTGGGGGCCGATTGGGGGCAGGGCAAGATGTGGGGAGGGGCCACAGAGTGTTGGCCAGCCAGCCCCACCCCCAATGGGGTGTTGGAGGCCAATTGGGGCCCAGATCAGGCCTACTGGCTACTGCAATGCGGGTCATAGACACAGGTCATTCCAGTCGTTCTGGTCATTCTGCCATTCCAGTCACTGGGCTTTTATATAGATATCCAACATTTTTTGCAAATATACCAGTCTCTACTGATTTTTGTCTAAATTTTTCACTCTAATACTATATTTGACTTCTTTTAGATTATATTTACGTTTATTCAAACATGAGTGGAATTAGGTTATAATGCCCATAATAATAATGTATAGGTATTCTAGATCAGTGGTCACCAATCTTTTGGACCTCACGGACCACCAGTGGTCCACAGACCACTGGTTGGCAACCGCTGCTCCAAAGGTTTCCTTAAACCAGTGGTCGCCAACCTTTTGGAGCTCATGGACCACCAGTAGTCCGCAGACCACTGGTTGGTGATCGCTGTTCTAGATTACTTAGACTAAGAGAATCTTAAATTACATTAATGTATATTAGAAGGAAAGTTATTGCTATTATTAGAAATCTAAGTTATTGATATAAAATTCTAAAGGACAAATAGATGTATATATCATTACCTAAAAACATATTTATACATCTCCCTGAAAATAATATTCATATACTTTTACTAGTGTTCAATCATACATGGTGCAACAGAATGAACTAAAGTAGATAATTTATTATAAGCACAGCCTGGAGTCTGGTAAATCCAGTAAATGTTCTCAGGCATTACTGGTTAACTATTTCATTTTTTTTATTTCATTATTATTCCTCTAACGATAATTCACGCTGCCTTAGTGATTCCCTAATGATACTGTCACTACATTACATTCTGCTTTCACAATAAACTGGCACTCCAAAAAGGTCAACACATGCCTGCCATCTCAGGCCCCGATTCCATGTAAATTACAATTTAGGCAGTAACCAAACAGATAGGCACTGAAAGATTTTAGTGAGGAAGACATGGCCCCAGGCAGAACACTGAAATACCACCATGTGTACACACTGCCAGCTAGTCTACTGACTGATTTCTTCTCTATTTTCCATTTCCGCAAAACAGAGACCAATCTATCTATACTAATAAAAGGGTAATATGCTAATTAGACAGGACATCATCCAGACATCTTCCCAGCGTCCTACCAGACAAAGCAATGGTGGAGGGGGCCGAGGCAGAGGCTATTGGGGGCGATCAGGCCAGCAAAGGGGAGCAGTTAGGGGGTGATCAGGCCAGCAGAGGGGAGCAATTAGCGAGCAATCAGGCCGGTAGGGGTGAGCAGTTAGGGGACGATCAGGCCAGCAGGGGAGGGCAGTTAGGGGCGATCAGGCCAGCAAAGGGGAGCAGTTAGGGGGTGATCAGGCCAGCAGAGGGGAGCAATTAGCGAGCAATCAGGCCGGTAGGGGTGAGCAGTTAGGGGACGATCAGGCCAGCAGGGGGGGACAGTTAGGGGGCAATCAGGCCAGCAGGGGAGGGCAGTTAGGGGCGATCAGGTCAGCAGGCGGAGGCGGTTAGGGGCAATCAGGCCAGCAGGGGAGCAGTTAGGGCAGTGGTTCTCAACCTTGGCTGCACATTAGAATCACCTGGAAATCTTTTTAAAATCCTGATTTCTGGTGATTAGGGACAATCAGGCAGGCAGGTGAGCAGTTAGAAGGCAGTGGTCCTGGATTGCGAGAGGAATGTCTGACTGCCAGACATCCACCAAGGGGTCCTGGACTGAAGAGGGTGCAGGCCAGGCTGAGGGTCCCCCCCCCACCCCTACCTCACTAGGGATCCTACCCATGCACGAATTTCATGCACCGGGCTTCTAGTATAATAAATATTCATGGAGAAAATAAACCAATATGTGGCATAGACCCGGACACTTCACATTTTCCTTTTTTATTATGTAAGAGTGCATACTATTCAGGAGTCGAGTTTGGTAAATATAATGTTTTTTTTCCAGGAACACATGCCCAATTTGGGTGAAAAAAATGTAGGGAGGGATTCATGTTCTGTTATAACTTAAAGCACTATTTAGTAAGAATGTTATATTAACAATAAAGGAATAAAAAACAACTACATTTTTAAGACATCCATTGAAATAATGAATTTTAATGATTCCCCTCAAACATTTATTATTTATTCATGTATGAAATTTTGTCTTACTAATAAAGCACTTAAAGGTTTCTGTTAGTTTTTTAAAATATGTAATGACATTCACATATTTTTAAATGCATTCATAATTCAAAATTATTTTTTTCCAAAATGGGAATTTCTTAGATATCTTTCCTGTTATTCAATTTTTATCACAAAAAATTAAATAATTTAAGAAACTGAGTCCAGATGGTGTGGTTCAGTGGTTGAGCATCAACCCATGAACAAGGAGGTCACAATTCGATTCATGGTCAGGGCACATGCCCATGTTGCAAGTTCGATCCCTAGTAGGGGGCAGGAGGCAGATGATCAATGATTCTCTCTCATTACTGATGTTTCTAACTCTCTCTTACTCTACCTTCCTCTCTCTGAAATCAATAAAAACATATTTTAAAAAAAGAGATTGAATGCATCTCTAGAACTCCTTCCCACCTCCAAGATAAACACTGTGAAACACTTCAATGCATATTTGCTCAAATAATTTTTATGCATACATAAAGCAGTCTGTGTATTTTTTAAATGAATGGGAACTGTTTTAAATTACAAACTGTTTAATTATAGATAACAGACATTTTGACATCACTCAGGGCAATCTTTAAGTTAATTTTTTTTAATTTTACTATTTCAAAAAGTATTTCAAAAATTAGTATTTAAAGTCTTGTGACTTTAAATACTAATTCACTTCAGAAAGGAGAAAAACTGAACAACAAATGCCAGGGCTTAATGTAAAGTGATTCCTAATGTAAGTTACCTGATAGAGAACTATCTTATGATTAAAACTGAGGAATGGGAACAACTATCAGCAACAGAGACATGAAGTCTTAAAAACACGTTCATATGAGCAAACATGAATAGATATACATAATGGTACAACTTGAAAAACTATTTCCAAAAAACAACGGTAGATTCATTTGGACATAGCTGCTATCAGTGTTCCTCTAATTTAATATATATTCTTCACTTTAACTAAAATAAAATTAATAATCAAATAATTTTAAACATAGATTCAAATGGATCAATTAAAATGTCATGAAAATTAAATAGGATCATAAGACCATTTCTTAATTTTGTAAGCACTTTTGCTAAGTTACTGAAAGCTACGGAATCTGCTTCATGAAATATAATAACATCTTTTTTTAAAGTAACTTGTAGAATTCCAAATAAAGTGTTTTTATAGTGTTTTACTTGGCTAGTGTAGATATCATCTGAGTTAAAAACATAAACAATGTAGTAGGTTAAGTTTGCTTTTTTAAAAATGGTTTCTTGGCTATGCATAGGCAGGTTGAAAGCTGAACTACCAAGGTTTATAAAAATAATACACATTTAGTCAAATAAGAATAATATTGCCAAAAACTAAAGCAAGATTAAAATTTACATAGACTAGTAACCATCATTTTCAGAAGGTCACAATGACTGCCAATTAAAATGTGGGATGTAATCTATGGCCTCTTTTCATACATCCTGGGAATTTTTCCCCTTTGGACAAAGAAAATTCTGGAATGAGCTCTATAAAAAACCAAGACATAGGATTAGATAAGACTATCTTCATAAGAATAAATGTGTTTTATTTACTGAAGAATCAACAACTATAACTAGAGAAACAATATAAAGTGTTACATTTAAATAACACTAGCAAAAAGAATTAGCTGGGTAGTGCAAAATTCAGTTATTAATCATAGTGTGGAGCTTCAGTTCACTTTCTCTTTTTTTTTCTTTTTTTTTTTTTTTTTTTCTTTTTTTTTTTTTTAATATATTTCACCGATCTTTCACAGAGAGGAGGGGAGAGGGATAGAGAGTTAGAAACATCGATGAGAGAAACATCGATCAGCTGCCTCCTGCACACTCCGCACTGCGGATGTGCCCGCAACCAAGGTACATGCCGTTGACCAGAATCGAACCTGGGACCCTTCAGTCCGCAGGCCGACACTCTATCCACTAAGCCAAACTGGTTAGGGCTCACTTTCTCTTTTTAAAGGGGTTTCTGAATGGCCAAAAAACAATCTGCTGATCACAAGCTATAATGCAAGAAAAACAAGTTCCAACTCATAATCTCCAGTTCTTTACCAAATTAATAAATGAATCAAGAGAATGTCTGAATCCAGATAAATGTATTTGCGAAACCAGAATATATATTCAGTAGCATATACTAGTCTCTCTCTTCTTCATTTTCAATGGTTTGGTATACCCTCACAGAGTTCACAGGAAAATAAGCTTAACTGACCATACAAATATATTTCTAATTTGCTCTCTTCCCTGGCTGTATCTCACACTCATTTGTATTTAAAAAACAGAAAAACATGATTAGGCACTTTACAGACGAGACTTAGTGGTCCAAAGCATTTCTTTTTTTTTAATTCTAGAAGACATTAAGAAAAGCTATGAGAACCACTGA